GTGAGCACCGGGCGACCTTCGGCTCGTTCCGCCTGCGCGCGGCCCATCGTGGCTGGCGGGGGGGGGAGGGGCGTCATCCATAGCTCAGCACGTCACAATACTGAATTTTGTGAATAGAATGCATAGAGCTCCATATCTCTAATGGTCTCGAAAATGTTTAAGACTTTCGGAAAACTGTATTAAAATTAAAATTTATGTTTCCTTTTCTCTGCAATCTTTCGTTTTAAAAAAATCTCGTTCCTCTAATTACAGGGTTATTATTTTTGCATATTTGCTCAAAACAAGAACTGTGGAGCCACAGAAACAGCCATTGCTAGCTAACGGCTCTGAAACAATATTTATTTCTAGCCAACTGCCGCGAAACGGACAACGGAACAACGTCCATTGCTAGGCATCACATTCTTAATAATCAAGAATAGGCAACCGCTCTTAGTGAACAGCTCGGTAAACGCATTTCCACGAAAACGGTTAGCATACGAGAATGAACCGTGTTGTCTAGCAGGGCCGTGTCGGGGAGATATAAGGAAGAGAGCTGGAGCAACCAAGTCAGTTCTGTGCGGGAGTCTGTGGGGAAAAGAATCAATTGGAAGGGAGCCGCCATTCAGAAAAGAATTGTGCGCCGAAGCTGAAGAATTTCTACTGCTAGAGGCTGTTATCAGGGAACGGCTGGTGAAGACACAGCAGGCTGGAAAATACTTAGCGAGTGATATGGTGATTTGTTAATTATGGAGTTTAGCGATGGCGCTGTAGCGCACCCGGTAGCGCAGTTGGTTGAGGTAATATGTTACAAGCCGGAGGGTCGCGGGTTCGATTCCCGATTAGATAATTGTATTTTTTTCAGTTTACCTAATCCTTCCAGCCGCATTATAGTCCTGGGGTCGACTCAGCCTCTAATAGAAATGAATACCAGCAATCCTTCTGTGTGCAAGGGGCTGCAGGCGTGTATAACTGAAAACTTACCCTCATCTCTGAGCCGATTGTCTGGAAAATGTGGGAGCCTCGACGTCTCACACACGTATGGGCCTGCACGGCTTCTTACAGCGATAGCTGAACTTTTGAGATACAGGTGTAAGGATCTGAATTGGGTTTATCTGGCTCCTGGAAGCTTCCAGCAGTCACAGATAATGATGACCACGTTGAACCATCTCGTTCCACAACATAAGGGAAATGTTGAACGGCTGTGTAACTCTCAGTTTCCCCATAATGGCCTTGCGCCTCAGTGTTGGTCAGTAGGTCAGCTGTAGATGCTTCCATTTACTGGTACTATCCAACGTTTGAAAGAGTGCCGACACAAATGATTGTTCTCTATGACGTAAGGATGATATTAGGGACATTAAACACTGTAAAGTCCATCATTACAATCACCATAATGCTATTTCTTATGGAAGGAAAATTTAAAGTCTCCTTGAACGTCTAGCATTATTGAAATTATTGAATCAGTTTGGTTACCTTTATGCATTGTACCATATTTGGGGGGGGGGGGCACGCAGTAGCGTATTTGCTTGAGGCACTATCTTATGTCACGATTTCGATTCCCGTTGAGGTCACTGGATTTTTAAATTGACCTAATACTTCCAGCCGCAATATGATCCTGGGTTCGACTCAGCCCCTAAAAGAAATGAGTACAATGAATATTCCTGGGGGTAAAGGGCGGTCGGCACTTAAGGCAGACAATCTCATGCCCGTCTGTGAGCCGATTGTCTAGAAGTATAGGATCCTCGACGTCTCACAACCCTATAGGCCTCCACGGCCTGTTACAGGGATAGCTTTACCTTTGTTTTAATTGTACCTTATGCACATAATTCAGAATAAATTAAAATAAAGTTCATATTTGTGATAAATAAACATTTTTTTTAATGTTATTCCGTAATTAATTGTGAAGGAATCTCGAAGGAAATTTGTTATGCAGCTCTTCTTGTGAAAGGACAGTCCCACTTGCAAGGGCGAAATAAGTGACGACAAAACAGCGACTTACTGGGGGCAAGGGACGGCATTTGATATCGGTGCTATCAGCCCAGGGTGTGGCATCGAACCTAGCAGGATGACTCTGGAAATGAATTCGAAAGGATTTGGAAGGAAGTGGCCGTGCCCTATTTAATGCTACTACCAACGGGAGCCGGGACAACGCAGTTGGTACAGAGACTGGCTAAGACCTAGACAACCGAGGGATCGGAGTTTGAGTCCCGGTAGGATAAAGAATTTTGTCTTTTTCACGTAGTCAAGACAGGCACTGCGGTCAATCCAGCCTCATATCCAATGTGTACCTGGGGCTCTTTCCGGGGGTAAAGCGGCCTGGGCGTGGAGCTGACCACTCATCTCCAACTAGTGCCGAGGTCAAGAAAATGTGGTTCTACACATTCGCTCCCCAACCGCCCTCATGGCACAGGGACAAATTTGCCTTTTAGCAACGAATTTCAGGAAGGAAGGAGAAGAACAACGAGAAGCGTGTACCGTAGCTGAGTCTAGACCGGAAGCCTTCGCAGAAACCTTACCCATGGAGGCCAGTAATTGGCAGTCCCATGACCGGCCCAAGTTGGAACGTTTATGTAGGTGGCACTGCCCTATTCTGGAAACGCGAAACAGAAAAACAATAGCAAATAACAACGAAACACAGAAAACCAGCAATAAGCTAAGCATGTTGTGAAATACTCATTGAAGACTGCAGTACTTACGCTGAGTAAAGGGGAGACATTGGCCATGTATAAAAGAGTTTAGGGCAGCCGGGATGAGATTCCAGACAGCTCTCCTCTGCCTTTCGTCAAGATGGCGTGTTCGCAGTTTAGCTCTCGGGCGTTTAGTGTTTCTTCAGACGCAGCGGAGAGAGGGCGTCGATCGAATGGATGCCGAAAGATTCGCAAAGAAACGATTTGTAGCGATGCCACTGCAGGAGAGACGTCGGGGAATCCCCCCCACAAAAAAAATCTGCTCATCATGTTCCTTGGCTTCATTCCTCTTGGCCTAATGTGTGCTCCTGTAGAAGGAGGGCAACTTCTGTCTTGCTAGAGTGTGTGACGCATGTGCTACTATCACAGGTTTCACGAATGTGCCAGGAGACAGCGGCGGAAGTGAGTTTTGTTCCAGAAGTTCCACCGAATTTTACACGTCATATGTTTCTTCGTTTTTGTTTTGAGTACACATTCACTGCTGACAACGACACACAATGTA